AATTTCATTTAAAAAGTGTCTACTTGGCTATCATCCAGGGTGACCCAATGTCTACCCAATGTCTACCTAGTAGTCAAAGAATAACAACAGCAATGATCTAAATGGAACTCTGACTGTGTAGAAAGCAGCTTCAAGTGAAAACTCTTCGATATATCGACTTGCCGAGCTTAGCTTGTTTGCGATGCCACCGAACACAGGGGCCGCCGAAGGATCCGAGGGGAGCTGAGCCAACGCCGAGACCTGCGAGCGCTGTAGCGTTTTCCGTGCCGGCTGACGGGCTGAAATGAGTACTGGTAGCAGAAAACAATGTCCAAGACCCAATCATTTAGTTGTACCACAAAATGGTATCGCTTAAGGTTTGCCCAGGTTAAAGGGAATAAGGCACCAAGACATGCCTAGATGGTTGTTCCAAAATACGAATATCTCCCCTATAGTAATAGGAGTATCCTCCAACAACATCAGCTCGTAAACTTGTGCACGAGCTTTCCTGATCCCACCTATTTTCCCGGCTTGGTCGCTCCCCGTTTTCACCATGCCATCCCTGAGGCTGTGGAAACTCTCAGCCTTCTGGGGTCATTCTGCAAGATGTCAGCCCCTATTTTGTGATACAAACATGAACAGATCCGGCTCACGTTAGCCAGACCTTGTTGTAGGACCATGCTTCGCGATGAGGCCGCGAAAGATCCGCGAAAAATGTTTTTCTTCCCGCGAAGAATGGCCATTCTAGGATGAAAGAATATTGGTCAACCACAATGTATGTATTTGTATATATATATATAGATGTATAAGTGGAATGTAAAGTAAGGTTATGTTTTGTTTTGTTTTGTTCGTGTATGTATGTATGTATGTATGTATGTATGTATGTATGTGCGTATGTATGTATGTATGTATGTATGTGTGTATGAATGTATGTATGTGTGTATGTGTGTATGTATGTATGTATGTATGGGTTTGATCCAACAAATTTTGACTAGCGCAGCCAGAGTTGCCCTTTAGGCTCTCTGGTGTGATCGATGGGCTTGTTGGCTGCCCTGAAGCAGGGGTATGATCCTCAGGTTTTGGTTTTGGCAACTATCGTGCCTACCAGACTTCTGATGTGTATTTGAATGTGCTACGAGTTGCAGCATAGGGCAGGAGGAAAGGTTGTAATCTCTGCCAGGTAGCTGCACCAAACTGGTCTGAGAACATGTGGCTTCGAGCTATGCAGCGTCAGACTCTCAGAAACCTTTGGGTTTTCGTCTAGAATTCTTCATTTCCCTGTGACACTGCAAACCTGGTTTGTTGAGGGCTCCCTAAGTCACACCAGGTGGCGACATGCTTGCAGTACTGAAGCAGCAGGCTTGTGCTTCTTTTGCCGGTCACACAACCCGGTGCCTTGGTAGCTTTGCCAGGTCCTGGGTGATTTCTCCAACGTGGAACGCCCCGTCTTAGAAGCTGCGCTTGCCGCCCACCACCGCTAAATTGCCACTAATCCGAAAGCAGGTTTCTTTCTGGCGGTTGATGCATTGGCATAGGCTCTGTGCATTTGATTGCATCAATTTTGGGACGTTTGGCACTTACATGATCTTACATGTGATGAAAGCTAGCATAGAATTGTCATGCTGTTCCTGGTTCCAAGGTTTTGCAATGCGGCCATGGAGCCGCCAAAGAGAGCTTCATTTGACAAAGCAAACAACTTGGATGAACCTGGATGCGAGGGGAAAGGAAGACAGGAGTGCCTTCTATGATTTCTATGGGCTTTAGGTGCCTTCAGCTCGCTGGCCGGCCATCTCACCTGGCCCTAACAAAGACCTTTGTGCACTCCAATCTTACTCATCTCACTTCACTTCGCATCTCATCCATTCTCATTCCATCGTCAACCCCCTTACAGCAAGTCATGTCTTGTCTGATTTTTTTTCTGGAAATCGATGGTCAGAACCCTACGCAGGCTGGTGCCGATGGTGGCTGGCTGCTTAGACATCTGTACGGTGGGATCTCCATGTTTGGAGAGTTGCTCAAACTTCTTTAAATAAAGAAGAGCGATATGAAGAAACAGGAGAAAGATATATGAGTACAGAAGAAAAAAGACGTAGTACGAGAAAGAGAAGAAGCAGACAAAGCAATGAACTAGATGCAAGGACCTCAGAATAGAAAGCAAAGACATGAAAGACTTGGACACCGTGCGACCCAGACGGATTCGCCGCCGCCGGGCCTTTCGCCAAAGGCCGGCAGAGCCAAAGTGAACATGTTCTAGATACGATGAGCTAAGAAGCTGAGGTTTCTGCGAAATAGGACAATACTCTTTTCACAATGAAGGTCCAATCCCTTGAAAGGGTGCAACAAGAAACGTAGATCGTGGCAGCAACTGCACAGTAAGAGAGTGAAATGCTTGCCAACACCTGCTTCCCGCAGAATGACTCGCCGCCTGGCCTGAAGGTTCCTAACAAGGACCTGATCGATGCACTCCCAGCATTGTTGTGTTTGACGTTTCATATGACATCATTAGGTAAAGAAGACATGTGAACACATACTATATATATTACAATATATATATAATCTATATAATATCACATATATATAATACGGTGTGCTTTGGAGCTTTGCACGTCCACACCTCGGAATGAGTGTAGGCTTGGCCGACATTGGTTCGGCCTACAGGCGACTACCTGGCAGAATCATTTGCCCTGAAGTGAGTTGGTAGGTGAAGGATGCTGAGGGTGAACCTAATGGCGATGGCCTCCAACCTAATTTGAGTCGGTAGGTGAGGGTGAACCTAATGTGGCTCGACCATTTAGTCCAGTGTTTCTCCGGCTCGTCCGTGAAACATTTGTGGTTGTGCGAGGGGTGGGAGCATGCAACTTCTGCCTGGTTCTGCTAAGATTGGTTCTTCATTTCAGCTTCAGGTTGTGGGGATCTGGGGTGTGGGGCCGTTTGGCCCCTCACATGGAAGCTCCTAGTAGCGTCCTTGTTACTAGTAGTAAGGCCAGGAGCCCCTAGTAGCGTCCTTGCCCCTAGTAGCGATGCCCTTTGCTCCTAGTAGCGTCCTCCTAGTAGTGTTGGGATTGCTGGTTTCACTTCTTCATTTCAGGTGTGTTGGGTGGGGAGTGTTCTCATGTGTTCTCCCTTTGAGAGACTCGGGTGAACGGGATTGGTCTGGAGATACCGAATGGGCGCCCAGGCAGGATTCGTGGGGTATCCGAACCTTTGAACCGTCCAAAATCCGTCAAACCTCTTAGATTCCTTTGCTAGTAATTACAAGTGCCTTGCTAGTAGTAACAGGTGCCTTACTAGTAGTAACAAGAAGCTATTAATTACAATTCTAATTAAACTATTCAGGGGCAAAACATCATTGAATTTGGTGGGTCGGCGTGTGCTGCAGTTCCTGGGGTGGTTGATGGCCCTGGCGTGTCGTGTGTCTGTGCAATCATATACTGTACTCTTCTATCCTCTCCTTCACATGGCTACTGATTTGATTGGGTCGGTTGTAGGAGTTTCTCGCGTTACACGTAGCGCCGCAGCGAAGTAGGAGTTTGGTTTGATAGCCATCCTGCTACAACATCTACAAATTAGAAGGCTATTGTCTATTGTAGAGGAGAGATAAAGTAAGCATAGAATTATACAACTGCAGACTGCGGTCAACTGTCTTTCACGCGAATGTGGCTTAACACTTGCAGCATCAACTCAACTTCAACAACAAAGGTGGGTCTTTGTTTTGTTGCAAGTGTCCGGCTGCACATCTATGTTGCATGTTTATGACATGTTTGGACTTTCTTCTCAGGCCCACTGTCACACAGCCACCCCTTTGGATGTACAAATAGCATCATGGTTGTGCGTTACCTTTGGGCATGTACCCTCAGGAGGTATCGTTTGCCACGAAAAGCAGCTTGCCATGATCTCAAATCACAAGAGTATTGCACTTGCACACATTGTGTGGAGCGATGACTTGGTTTCAGTAGCACATCCGTTGCTGCTTTGCATCAAGGTCCTCCGGCCACTCGTCTACATCATTGACGATGGCTAGCATGTATTCAGGCTACACAACGCTAAAGTTCTGAAAGAGAGTACTTGCTGCTCACGAACAATAAGCTACTAGTAACAAGTGCATCGCTTCTAGTAACAAGTGCCTTACTAGTAGTAACAAGAAGCTATTAGAAACATGTCCTTAGACTCATACTCCGCAAAACTTGAAGCATGTTCATGTGATTTCATGTGTCGGTTTACGCTACTCACTGGCAGATACAGATCCTGGCCATTTGGATGGAGTTCAGCTGTCAAGCGCCTGTGTTGATGGACTGGACTTAGAGCCGCGGAGCCAAGCTAGACCCTCCATGTTTTGCTGGTGAAGTTGCAGTGCTCGTAAGAAAAGCCTTCAAAATATATAGAAGCAGTGCAAAGCAATGCATAGCAATGGATAGCAATGCAACACAGTCACAAGAAAACACACGATAGAAGCAATATGAAGCAATGACCAGGATCAAACAATGGCAACGCTGAACCTTTCTGAGGCGTGCAGAGTGGCGGATTGGTCAGTTGTCGCAGAAGCTGCGTGGCTGTATGGGCAGGTCAGGTTGTGTGGTGTACTGGTACCCATCAATTTCTCTCCAGACTTTAGTTTTTTTAGATATCATTTTACTTCCCTTGTCTCCACCAAGCAGACAAGCACAACAGGCTTCGTCATGCAAGCTGCGAGATTCAAACTTGCCACAGGGAGCCGCTATTGGAACAAGAGTCTTCGCATATTTGTGTTCGGTTCATCCATGACAAGACAGGCAATCATAGACAGACAACTGTTTTTGACAATCATCGCCCAGACCTTGACATGTTTTTCTAAGAATCTAGAGGCACAAGAAGCATGCAGAAACGGCATCACACCCCGAATTCAGAATCATTCAACCAAGATCTCATTTTTGTCTTTAATGTGTCGTATATGATGCTTTAGGGCGTTGAGTTCTAGACTCAAACAAGGGAGACACCATAAACAACAGTAAATTTTGTAACTGCACTACGGAGATTGAAGTCTTGAAGGCTTGAAACTTTCAGAAGCGCCATTGCTTTGCCATTCCTTTGCCCATGGAGCCTTCTGTGGGTTTTGTGCCGGGACAAAGGCGCAGATCTGGGATGAAACATTTGAACATTCTACCATAGTCGGTTGTTCTATTTCAGAGTGGATCAAATGCAAGCCCCGCCCCGCCTCCCCCTACCCCATACACGCACACACACACGCACACACCAAATATGTCCGCTTTTTGAGATTATCAAAGGAAGTTTAGGGCAAAACTTCCGTGTTACGGACTTTCAAAAGCTCTAGGTATAGTTAGCTCTAGTTCCAGTCAGCTCTTCAACATGCATTTTGGAAGGAAGTCTAGAGTCTAGTTCCAGTCAGCTCTTCAACATGCATTTTGGAAGGAAGTCTCGCAGAATGGCTTCGTTTTGCAGGTGTTCAACATGCACATTGGAAGGAAGTCTCGTACGAAATGCATTTTCGAGAGATAGCGGACGCACGAAATGCTATGTTTTACCATACAAAGTGTGGCTCCGCACCTGGAGAGTCAAGCTCTGCGGAACGACGGTT